CAGTTGCGCAAGATCGCAGGAGGCGACAGATGCGCATATCGCAGCCCCCCAGAGGGCGCCGCGAGGAGGAGGTAGGAGGCAGGAGGGAGGTGGGCGGGAGGACGGGGCGACCAGAGTGCTCTATTCAAAACGAGTACCCAACCAAGGGAGGGTTGGGAACAAATCCAATATGGTTAGGAAAAATACCCAAAAAATAATCCCCATACTAATGTTTGACTATTTTTGAATATTCATCCTGTAGAGGGACGGGCCCGACGTAAGACTTCGGGGGACCCATAATGGCACGACGTCAGAGGTCCCGGAGGTCCCGGAGCCGTCTTCAGCAGCACGATGGCACAATTTGCAAGAAGCGACCATGGTGTACCCAAAGCTGCAGAGATGGCCGACACCAAAAACCCTGTCTCTGAGTGTGCTAATATATCCTGTGGACGTCCTTTTTACTTCCTCTGGCTTGCGCCGGCAAAAAACATCCCTGGACACGTCGGAACCGCCCCCCCCCCCCAAAAAAAAAAACATTCGAGGCGCCCGGGGAGCCGCCCCCCCCCGCACCCCACCCCACCGGACACCGCCCCCCCCCACCACCCCCCCGCCAGCCCCCACCCTCCCCCTACTTACGCAGGACGAAAGATGTTCCTCTTGAGGTGAAAATGGCCATGAGGATTTCGCGAGATAACGTCGGCGCCGCCGAACGGACGGCGACCAGACGTGCTGTTTGCAGCATCCGGGGTGAGAGGGATGTATGTATTCATGTTGAATGGGGCCCGTTCGCGCGGGGAGTTGATGGGGGTGCGCGAGACGACGCAGCGCCCATCGTGGAAAGTTAAGTACCGACCACCCCTTCCCCTGTAGAATCTTAACACGGGCGGTTTGCGGGGTCCGCGGATACGATTTCTTCCGGCTCCCTGGTTTAATTTAGTAATATAATAAATTTAAAACAGGTCAGAAATCGGATCCGCCGTGAAAAATAAGACCGAACACGGATCCAACAAATCCGAAATCGGATCCGCGCGGACGGAAATCGGATCCACTGAAACACAAACAAAAACCAAAATTGGACCCGCGCGAAATTCATTGGATCCGAAGGCGGGTATTTCACACGCGTCTGCTTAAGACTTCAAACCTTCGCTCCGGGCCCAAGAGGAAAAAACTTTCGTCCTGGGGATGTAGTAAAATCAGATTTGTGCTCGATCAAGCCTTAGTAGAGTCCACTGTAGCTGGATCCAGCTTCAATAGCATCGCAGTCGGGCTCGATCCAACTCGAAACATAATACTAAATAGCTGGATGCAGCTCTTTTTGAATCCGATGAAGGCTCGATCCAACTCTGAAAGAATCCGACCACAGATGGATCCAACTTTACTTGCACCCTAGTCGGGCTCAGTCCAGGTCAATAGTATTCCTATTATATCTGGATCCAGCTCCAATCCTAACAAGGCGCCATCCAGCACTCATGTAACTCAATTGAACCCTACTGGACTAGATCCGACTCTAAGAGAATCTTACCAAGAGGCTCGACCCAGCCTTCATAGCATCCTACTATGGCTCGATCGTCATCGTCGTCGTCGTCGTCGTCGTCACCCGACAGCGCCCGAGCCGGCATCGCCATCGTCGGCTGCCAATGGGGATGGAGGGGGGGGCCTCCCCACAGTTCAACCCCCCCCCCTTGACTTCCCACCCACCCCTGCAATTCGGGCCCCCCCCCCCCGATTCGAACTCCTGCTGCGCAGGACCCGCGAGGGGAGCTGCATGCCCCGAGCCCTCGACATCTGTGCTCCCCTTCGGCCGGCTCATTCTCGCTGCAGCCTAGCTGCAGCTCCTCACTCCGCGTCGTCGTCCTCGTCATTTCGAATTCCACTACACGGTAGGTGCGACGCAAGAAGAGCACAAGAGGGTTCCAAGATGGATCTAAGATAATCCGACAAGGCTCCAGGAGACACCCAAGGTGGCCCAGAGAGCCTCGGCGGGATCCCGAGGGCCACAGAGAGAAAGCCACGAAGAGGACCCAGGAGGCCCACAAGGGACTCCAGGAGAGGCTCCGAGAGAGGCCCCACATGCCTGCCGAGAAAGCCCCCATACGGCCAGCAGTGTCGAACCACACAAGCGCTTGGCCCGTGAGGTGCTCCAGCTGGTCCAGGAGGGCTCGACGAGGGACCTGTAATCCCGACAGGGCTTCGGGAGGCCCCCAGGCTGGCCCAAGCAGCCCCGGTGGGATCCCAAGAGCAACCAGGAGGCCCCCATGGAGGCCCGCACGAGGCTCGAGGGGAGGCCCCACGACGCCCCGAGGGAGACCCCAGGCAGCCAGCACTGCCAAACCTTCGGGTGCTCGAATGCATGTGGCCGCTTCGAGAGGGCTCCCGAGGGCTCCAGGACTGCCCAGGACGGCCCCAACAAGCAAGCCGGAACGGCCCCCCAGACGGCTCCAAGAGGCCCCCATCCTCGCTCCTCCACTCCTCCCCACGCTTCCTCGCCGCCATCCTCCTCCAGTCGAGCCCGAGCTCAAGGTGGAAACACCTGCAATCAAAAGAATCGGCGACTTCTCGCGGCAAACAGCCCCACAGGCATCCGCCGCCTCCCCGGGCGAAACGCGCCGCGGAGCGATGGCCAGTCGCAGCGTCAGGATTCAAATGAAGAGGCCCTGGGGCACACATATAAATACACACAAAGGTGTTCCGCCACTTTCTGGTCTCTCGTCTTCCCTCTCACTTCCCATAGTTTGTTCTCCGACATCCTTGTGGGAGTCGACGATGACTCGTGTCTGTGTGTGTTTTTGTTCGCTCCCGAACCATGAGGGGGCGGGGTGGGCCCGTGCAGAGCCGTGGAGGCTTACGCTGGGCCTTCGCCCGTGGAGCCCCCTCATGGAACTACAAGGTGCTGCGCACTGCCTATACAGTCGGGGCGTTGACCCAAGGAACCCTGAATAAGGAACGAGGCCCCTTTCACCCATAAATGCAGCCTCGATTTCCCATGACAAAAACCTCCGGAAAACCCGAGGCAAACTTTGTGAAACAATCAAGGAACACCGAGCCCCTCCCCAACGAAAAGGGTTCCTTCTTCAGCGCCCCGACTGTAGTAGCAGGCAGCGGATCCCGACACACAGACTCGGGTTCGAATGCGGGGCGACCGCGTGGACGAGCAGCTGCAGAACAGTGGGAAAAGCCCAGGAGGAAGGGACTGGCAAGAGGAAAGAGAGAGAGAGAGAGAAACAAAAAAAGAGAGAGAAACAAAAAAAAGAGATACGCACACACAGAGAGAGAGAGAGAGAAACGGACAGAAAAAAAAGAGAGACGCACTGAGAAACGGACAGAGGCCAAACAAACCCTCGAGGCAATTGCAATGCTGTGTGCGTACAGCGCCATGGACTGGCAGGGAGGGTCAGGAAGGGGAGGGAGGCTCAGGAGGAGTGGGAGGAGCCGGGGCGGGCTTGGACGTTACAGGGCAATGCTCACTCGGGCCGTAGGTGGAGCTCCCTCGTATTCGACCGTACCAGCTTTACATGAACCTCGAGTGAGGTCCTGGCACTGACATTCGTATTGCGTGAGCTCGTGTGCGGGCCTTGCACGGATTTTCGTATCAACCTCGAGTGAGTAACCGTTTTCCCTCTCGCTCGTATTGTTCCCCCTCCTCCCCCACCCTCTCCTTTCTCCCCCTATGCTACCAAAGCAGCGGAGAACCCTCCAAAGCGCCAGCAACCAGCAGCACACAAAGGCAAACGACAGCAGTCAGCAATACGCTGCACCAGACAACTGCGAGCAACACCGAGCAACATCAACCTGCCGCGATCGACGGCAACCAGCAGCATCAACAGCATGCGGCTCATGCGGCGGCGCTTCCCGCTGGGCCTACACTATAGACTCCTCATCCCTTTCTCCCTTCACCATCCCTCCCCTACTCCACCCCAAAAAAATTCAATACGCCACCGTTCCGCATGCACTCAGTAGGGCGTCTATCTTCTATCCTCGATAATGGTGCAGCCGAATAGCCCCTCCTTCTCGGGAGATCGCCTGCGATTCAACTGTCCTAAACACTTAAATGTTGTATCACCGGTCTATGCGGGCTCAGACCCCCACTGCGCGACTGCAACGGGCGCTTTCAAGTTCTCCCCAGGTGCCAACACGCGACTCCTGCTCCCAGACCCTCCCGAACGCTCCCTCAAGCGCTGTCAGAGACTCCAAGGCACTTCTGGGCACTCCCTGGGACCTCCGATGCGCATCCCGAGCACCCCCGTTTGCTTCCAGCGCCCTCAGGCGCTCCGGCCGATTCTGGTGCGCTCCCAGACTTGGGCGTTGCTTGATGGGAGGGCGAGAGATGGGGGGTCAAGAAACGTGCACCTTGCGTGCCCCCTTTTGCACCCCAGGAAGCCCCATCTCGGGCCCCAAAGGTGTACGAAGGGCCCACGTTTCTTCACCCCCTCATCGATCGCCCACCCGTTACGCAACGCCCGACAGACGCGCCCCAAGCGCTCCCAGGCGCTCGTTGGGGGCCCCACTTCCCGATCGACCCCCAGGGCCCCAAGGGCACCTCTCTGAGCAGAGCTGGGCGCTGCCAGGGCCGCCCCCTTGCGCGCCCCTTGCCCCACCAGTGCCGCCCCTTGCGCACCCGCGTCAGCGGCGCGCAGCGAGGCGTCGCACATGGCAGAGCGGGGCCCCAATGGTGCGACGCGGCTGCGTCACCGGGCACGACACGGCGCGTTGCCTCGACCCTCCTTCCCCCTCGCCCTCTCCTGCGCTGTCTCCCCGACCCACCCCGCCTCCCCTGTCTTCGACCCCCCTCCCCCCCCTCCTTCCGTTTCTCATCCTCCTCCGCCTCCTCCTCCGCCTCCTCCTCCTCCTCCTCCTCCTCCTCCTCCTCCTCCTCATCCTCCGCCTCCTCCTCCTCCTCCTCCTCCTCATCCTCCTCCTCCTCCTCCTCCTCCTCCTCCTCCCCCTCCTCCATATTCCTCATCCTTTCCTCCCTCCGTTCCTCCTGCCCCCCTCCCCGCACGCTGTCCGCCCCCCCCGACGACGGATCCTTCTCGCCCGGCCTTCCAGGCAGCTCGTCCGCCCGAAGCGGGCATCGAGCCAGCGCTGCGCCTCCTCTGCGGGGGCGGAGCACGGGTCGACTGCAACCCGAGGGGGAGGGAGGGGGAGGGGCGAGGAAGGGAGGAAGGGGGAATAGACCAACCCTGATTTTGGGTGTGGGAACGGTGAGTGAGACGTCAACCCCAACTGGAGCTCGGGACCCGGAACGGCTGGGACCGGGAACGGAACCAAACTGGGAGGAGCGAGGGAACGGCGAGACGTCGGCCTCGGGGCTGGACCAACCCCAACTGGACACGGCGAGAGAGCAGGATGACCAACGACAGCCGAGTCGTATCTGCAACAGGCGTGCAGCAACCTGCACGACCAGCGAGTGCAATGATCAAGGGGGTCACAGAGCCAGGGGGGAGCTCGTTGGGGGGAAAGGGGAGAGCAGGGGAAGGGCCGGGAAGGGGAGAGTGGGGAGGGAAGAGGAGGGGGGGGGGGGGGGGGGGGGGGGGGGGATGAGGCGGATGAGGGAGGGGGGCAGGAGGGAGGGGAGGGAGGAGAGGAAGGGAGAATGAGGAGTGGGAGGAAAACGACGACCAGAGGTGTTCTCGGACGTCCTAGGCGGCTCACCTTCCCTCCCATTCTTTCCCCATATGTCTCTCCCTCCCCCTCCGCCCCCTCCCTCTTCCTCCTCCTTCTCCTCCTCCGCCTCTCCCTCCTCCTCTTCCTCCTCCTCTTCCTCCTCATCCTCCTTTTCCTCCTGATCATCATCATCATCATCATCATCATCATCATCATCATCATCATCATCATCATCATCATCAGCAGCATCATCATCATCATCACCACCATCACCATCACCATCACCATCACCATCACCATCACCATCACCATCACCATCACCATCACCATCACCATCACCATCACCATCACCACCATCATCATCATCGCCATCGTCATCATCATCATCAGCAGCATCATCATCAGTATCAGCATGAGCAGCATCATCATCAGCATCAGCATCAGCATCATCATCATCATCTTTATCATCTTCATCATCATCATCATCATCATCATCAGCATCATCATCATCATCATCACCTCCTCCTCCTCCTCCTCGTCCTCCTCCTCCTTCCCTTCCTCCCTACGTCATTGATCCCATTCCCATTCCCATGGTCCTGACGCGTGGCCCGTTCCTTCGAGCGGGCCCATTCCTCGCAACCCCCAGCCGTCTGCCCGACTCCTCGGGCGGTGGTCGATTTCAGAACCGACCCACGCCGCGGGTTCGGTCCCGTGCCAAACATAGGCGCCCGCTGTGCATCAACGCGAGGCTGCCGCTCGTCTACAACCCCACCTGCCCCTCGGGCGTGGGCTGCTTCGTTCCAGCACCACGCTGGACTTATCCGAGCCGCTATTAACGCGGCCTGCTCCGAAGACTATCCCTGCTGCTATGGCAGCGCGTCCCTGGCTCAGATGGAGGCAGCTCCCAAGCCTAGCAGGCCGGACTGATACGAAACGTTGGCTGCTTCGAAAGCTAACCCTGCCGACCGGTGTTCCAACACCTCGCCGGACTGTTCCAAAATGCCAGGCATCGAAACAGGGCTGCCGAGTGCCTACGACACCAGCTGCCCTGCAGGCGTGGGCTGCTTCGAGGACTACCCATTTCGCTACGGCAGCGCGTCCCTGGCGCATAGGGGGACGGCTCCCAAGCCCAGACATATGTCGGAAAGCATCGACACGGGGATGCCGATCGTTTACGACTCTTGCTGCCCCTCAGGCGCGGGCTGCTTCGAAGTCGTCATCCTCAACGGCTTCGGCGCTTTGTTAGGGGATTATTGCCGCAAGGCTGGCGCAATTCGTCGGCTACCGTGAGGATGCACGCAGTTTGAGTGAGCACCGTAAGGATGCACCTGAAGTGCCCAGACCTCGGCACAGACCACGAATGATTGTACCTCTCCGCCTGCCCCTTCTTGCGACTCTCGATTCCGAGGTTTCGGGCCCGACCGATCTGGGCTGAACACCTGCCAGGCGACTTGTGCCGTGAGTGCGCCGACGTGATACGAGCTCAGCTGGAAGAACCGCCTTTGGCCACAAGCATACAGTCATCGGCCTGACCTAAGGAACGATAAATAAGGAACGAAGCCCCTTTTTTCCCAACCATCCTGTGGTGTTGGGTCCTCGTTTTGACGAGACGTCGCCCCGCGTTCCTCCTTCCTCATCCTTCCTCCTCCTCCCCTTCCTCCCCCCTCCTCCCCCTCCCACACCCATTCTGGCACACCCCTCACACGTTTCGTGGCCCCATAGGGAGCTCCACCGAAGGCCCCAGTGGCTGCGCCCGCATGCGGTTCCACCCACCGTTCTGGCACACCCCTCACACGTTTCGTGGCCCCATAGGGAGCTCCACCGAACGCCCCAGTGGCTGCGCCCGCATGCGGTTCCACCCCCCATTCTAGCACACCCCTCACACGCTTCATGGCCCCATAGGGAGCTCCACCGAAGGCCCCAGTGGCTGAAGGCCCCAGTGGCTGCGCCCGCATGCGGTTCCACCCCCCATTCTGGCACACCCCTCACACGTTTCGTGGCCCCCTAGGGAGCTCCACCGAAGGCCCCAGTGGCTGCGCCCGCATGCGGTTCCACCCCCCATTCTGGCACACCCCTCACACGTTTCGTGGCCCCATAGGGAGCTCCACCGAAGGCCCCAGTGGCTGCGCCCGCATGCGGTTCCACCCCCCATTCTGGCACACCCCTCACACGTTTCGTGGCCCCATAGGGAGCTCCACCGAAGGCCCCAGTGGCTGCGCCCGCATGCGGTTCCACCCCCCATTCTGGCACACCCCTCACACGTTTCGTGGCCCCATAGGGAGCTCCACCGAAGGCCCCAGTGGCTGCGCCCGCATGCGGTTCCACCCCCCATTCTGGCACACCCCTCACACGTTTCGTGGCCCCATAGGGAGCTCCACCGAAGGCCCCAGTGGCTGCGCCCGCATGCGGTTCCACCCCCCATTCTGGCACACCCCTCACACGTTTCGTGGCCCCATAGGGAGCTCCACCGAAGGCCCCAGTGGCTGCGCCCGCATGCGGTTCCACCCCCCATTCTGGCACACCCCTCACACGTTTCGTGGCCCCATAGGGAGCTCCACCGAAGGCCCCAGTGGCTGCGCCCGCATGCGGTTCCACCCCCCATTCTGGCACACCCCTCACACGTTTCGTGGCCCCATAGGGAGCTCCACCGAAGGCCCCAGTGGCTGCGCCCGCATGCGGTTCCACCCCCCATTCTGGCACACCCCTCACACGCTTCGTGGCCCCATAGGGAGCTCCACCGAACGCCCCAGTGGCTGCGCTCGCATGTGGTTCCCCCCCCATTTCGGCACACCCCTCACACGGTTCGTGGCCCCATAGAGAGCTCCACCGAAGGCCCCAGTGGCTGCGCTCGCATGCGGTTCCACCTCCTTTTTTTCGGCACGCCCTTCACACGTCTCGTGGCCCCATAGGGAGCTCCACCGAACGCCGCAGTGGCTGCGCTCGCATGCGGTTCCACCCCCCATTTCGGCACACCCCTCACACGTTTCGTGGCTCCATAGGGAGCTCCACCGAAGGCCCCAGTGGCTGCGCTGGCATGCGGTTCCACACCCCATTCTGGCACACCCCTCGCACGTTTCGTGGCCCCATAGGGGGCTCCACCAAAGGTCCCAGTGGCACTGCCCGCTTGCGTCCGCCACCACCCAGCACAGCCCTTGTTCCCTGCGCTTCACCCACCCAGAACAGCGCTTCGTAGCCCTATAGGGAGCTCCACCAAAGGTCCCAGCGGCACCGCCCGCATGCGTCCGCCACCACCCTGCACAGCCCTTGCTCCCTGCCTGCGTTTCACCCACCCAGTACAGCGTTTCGTGGCCCCATAGGGAGCTCCACCGAAGGTCCCAGTGGCACCGCTCGCATGCGTCCGCCACCACGCAGCACAGCCCTTGCTGACCGCGTCTCACCCACCCAGTACAGCGTTTCGTGGCCCCATAGGGAGCTCCACCGAAGGTCCCAGTGGCACCGCCCGCATGCGTCCGCCACCACCCAGCACAATTGCGGCATTCACAACTGCATATGGTTGGGTCCTTCGCCAGGCTTATTTTTATCCCAAGGAATAACGCATAAGGAACGATAAATAACAAACAACGCATAAGGAACTGTAAATAACGCATGCAAGCCTAAGGAACGACCGAGCCCCTTTTGAAAAGTAAGTGTTCCTTACTCAAGCCGCTCACTGTACGCCACCTTGACCTCAGCAGTGTGCTGCCTTTCGGCGGCAGCCACTATGCCATGCGAAGTCGCGCTGCCAGTCTGTTGCTGGCGGTGCCAGTCTGCCCTCAGAACCTGCTAGAAGCGTGCAGGCCTGAGTAATTACCTTGCCCAGCCCTACAGAGGCATACCCCTCGTGACCTCGCTCCTCTTCTTCCCATCTTAACAAGCCTCGAACCTATCCATATCCCTAAGATGGGCGAGCAAACAGCGAGGACAATCTTAGGAGCAGGCCCTCAGAAACTGAGGGAATCCTTAAGATCGGCATCGAGGTGAGGTGATGTCAAACATAGGGATAGGGATATGTTTCAAACTGGTAACATCTCCCATGGCACATCCAATGCTGCTCCCCCTCCACCTCGCCTCCCTCCCTGCAAGGGTGCAGGACCCTGGCCGCACGAGGCACGGGACGGGCGCTCGCCTCACAGGCCTCGGGAGCAATTAGCGAGCACTCATGCCACGTTCATCGGTCAATACCCCCCAAGAGTCAATTTTGGCGGTGGGTCGAATGAGTTGCACTTCGACCGCAGTCTTCCCCGCGCGTGCCAACTTGAATACGGGGAACAAGGGGAATGCCCACGTATTGCTTCCCTCTACCGCCTTCCAGAGGGATGAAAGCATGATGATCGGGAGGACGACCGGGAACGCGTGGACGCTTGTCCGCCGCGCAGGGCGGCGAGGCGGTGCCCCAGGGCCCGACGACGGTGCAAAGGCCGCAGCGAAGGAAGCGGCTATAGGATTGGAGGATTGGAAAGACCGTCGTGCTTTGGGACCACGTG